CCTTTCTCTGTCTGTATCTCTCTGGTAAAATTTTAAAATAAATAGTAGTAATAATAAGTCAAATAAAATAAATAATTATTTTTAAAAATGGAGCATAGACTTACCTAAAGAGGGAATTTTAGAACTATATCCTGTGTCCTACTGTGACCCACTTAATTGAAATGGAATGTTTTTCCTTGGTATGGGAATAACAAAGGAAGTAGAAATGTTTTATAGGAAACGAACTCTCAAACAAACTAACTTGATTTTGTATTAAAAAGGCAAATGGGGGGGACCAGCAGATGGCATAATGGTTATGTCACTGGACTCGCATGTAGTCAACCACGGTGGCTTAAAACTCACACTGGTTGCTTGTGCATGCATGCACAAAATCCTGAGAGGAAAATTGTGGCTTGGCCATCTCCTCTGGGGGGCGATTTCTTGCTTTTTGTTTGTCTCTCTCTCTGGTGAGCACATGCACCCTATAGAAAGAATCTCCTTTTTTTTTTTTCTTTTTAAGAGGTTTTTGCTAGACAGAGAGACAGAAAGCAAGAAATCACCGCCCCAGGGGGGGGAAGGCCATGCCACAATCCCTTCTCCTCCATTCTCCTCTTGGGATCTTGGGCATGCACGCACACGCGCCCGGCATGAGTTTAAGCCACCAATCTGGGACTCAAACTGGCATCAACTACATGGGAGTCCAGCGACATAGTCATTACACCATAAATACTGCTGGTCTCGAGAATCTCTTTCTTAAAAAGAAAAAAAAAAGCAAATGTTTGAATTCATGGCCTGGCTGTGCCCCATTGTTGTCATCTGTCTACTTCTAAGTACTGCTTTTTGCTTTTTTTGATTTATCCAATCTTGTTAGCCCAGGAGTTCATTTTTTTTAACCTGAGGGTGATCCTGAAGCATCACTGAAGAATCAAACCTGGGTGGAGAATCAAACCTGGGTAATTGGACTTTTTTTTTTTTTTGGAGAGGTTTTCGCTATAGGGCGCATGCGCTCGCCAGACAGAAAATTTTTCTGCCTGAGACTCTCACAAGCATGTCCCTTGCAAGGTTAAGAGCATCAGCAGCTAGGGAAGCTGTGCATTCTCTTCAGACAGGTTGAATTTGCAGACATTGGCTTGTGATTTCATTCACCTTGTGGCTATAACCTCTCCTTTACCTCCCATCAAGGGACAGAACCACCTCCCTCCTGCTATGCATCTTCATTATTCCTGTCTCTCCTTCTAGCTTTGTTCTTTCAGACTGAGGGTCATGGACCACCTCCGTGTGGAGGTGTGGCCCCATGGGGCACTCATAACTGGATCTGGTAGCAGGTCTTTTGCTTAGGATTGTAGATGACCCAGAGAAGAAAGGTTAACCCACCTACTAGAGCAGTGTCATCTTTTGGAGTCTCCTTGGTGCTGCTTGGCGAAAAATAAGGAGCCTTTCCAGAAGAAGCCATAGGAAATCAAACTTAGCCAGTCCTCTGTGGAGCGCCTGTGCCCTAGCACTTGCCTTCTGCCCTGGTGCCCCTTTCCCACTTGCAGAATTAGATTAGAGCTTACAGATTTCTTCCACCAGCCAGGGAGCCTGGGCCTCTAACGCAGGAACTTCGACCTTGGGCAGGGCTCTGTGCATCCTTGTGAAAAGAGGAGTTGCCTTTGGGTAATATGATTCCTTGTTTCAGCTGTTTAGATGCTTCCTCACATACCATTCTGAGGCCTGCTTGCTTCCACTGGGCCTTTGCTCCTCTGGAGGAGACACATTCTCCTTGTGCACCCTGTAGGAAAGTTTCAACGTGGTCCAGCTTTTCAGAGCACAAGTCTGAGAGATTGATCGCCAGGCCTTGTCCGAGGAGAGAATGGACTGACTCCGGAGTGCGATGGATGCGGTGCCCTCTCCAGCTGCTGGCAGAGCACTCCCTCTCCTGCTTGGGTGGCCCTGAGCACACTGGTGTCCAGTGTGCCATCTGGAGACAGCCAGGATCTGCTTTCCACCAAAGCTGCTTGGGTTTACATCTCGTTCTGTAATCTGATGTAAGAATCCCTATCCAGTTCTGATAAAGCCATCCTGCCCAACGTGATGGGGTTGGATGGGAGTTTTAGTTACTGGCGTGCCATGGAGCAATGAATTGAGGGAGAAACAAAGAGAGGCTAGACACCTGATGGCTTTTACCAGCATTTCTGGGAACTTGAGCAGTCGTGGAGGTGTCCCATGGGGGAAAGCCTTGTTTTAGGGCTGCCTCCATGCCTTACTGCTTTGACTTTGGGTAAATTCTTTAACTTCGCTGACCCGCATTACCCGGATCTGACAGAGGAGATTTAAAGCTACTTTGTCTAAGGCTTCCACCCTCCAACTTTGATGTGAATAGAAAATGAATGTTAGGGAAAGTGTCGACAGCCATAAAGCATTGTGTTGACGTCAGTCATTATTTTTAAAGTCAGTCGTATTATGCGCCAAGTATGCTGGTCATGTTCTAGTTTGAGGACAGATGCACATTTACTCAGACATGGCCCAGAATGTCCTCTGGGTGGACTTTTTTTTTGGATTTGGGCTCTATGTGTTGGGACTGCACAGATTCTCTATCTTCCCTAAAGCCCTGAGAAAGAAGGAAGCAGTTTGTTCTCTGAAAGGAAACCAGGATGGGACCTCTCAAATTCAGCTAGTGTTAGACCCATTTGCCGCTGTGTCTTTTTCAGCCCTCACAGTGACGTGGAAGAGAGTTCACATAATGAAGTTTAAAAATTCAGAACTTTCCCATAATAATCTTGAATTTGATTTGTCCTAAAATGGCAGATCTGACTCTACCAGTCAGGACTTGATGGGGCAAGTGCTCTTTGGTTTCCCCAGCCCCTTCACATGCCCAGATGTGTCCCCTCCATACAGAGTCTAGCTACCTGTCCAGCCTGTGCAACATTTGGCTTGACCCTGTGTGAAGACATCTAATCCTGCAGATGTTAAACTTCACATTTACGATGGAGGAACTTGGATGGGAGTCTCATTCTCAGATTGGAGCATTGATCCAGTATGGAACTTTAAAACCAGAAATTATTTGTCATAAGCCTTGAAAGGACCTTAAATGATGACAGGCATTAGACTAACACTAAGAGTAATAGGCATTAGTATTTACTCAGGCAATAACACGCGTATTAATAGAATACAATTTTTTTTTTTTTGGAGAGATTTTCACTGTAGGGCGCGTGTGCTCGCCAGACAGACAGACAGAGACATAGAGACAGAAAGCGAGAAATCACCCCCCCAGGGGGGATGGTCACGCCGCAATCCCTTCTCCTCCATTCTCCTCTCGGGATCTTGGGCACGCACGCACACGTGCCCGGCGTGAGTTTTAAGCCACCGGGTCCGGGACACGAACCGCAGTCGACTACGTGGGAGTCCAGCGACATAGCCATTACGCTAACTGCTGGTTCCAATAGAATACAATTTTGATAGAAACTGCAGATTCTGTGTGTCTGTGTCAGGACACAGAAAATATTCAGATCATTCTCTTCCTATTGGTGTATTTTTTTTTTTCATTTTAGTTATTGAACATTCATCAGGCACCAACTGTGTTCCAAGTTGGAGTGAGAAATTTTCATTTTAAGACCTTCCAAGCCCCTGCAGAGACCTGGTGCCCTTAAAATACAATATATGTACTTGTCTAAATATATTATAAAGACAGCTCAGCACCAGTTAAAGCGGGTATCAGTGTTAGACTGGATTTAAATCGTTTCATTTGTTTACAAGACACACAACAAAAACAAAATCACCTCTGTTTGGAGAAGCAGATCTGCTCTCCTGAGAAATGTAATTTTGCATAGTTTGTTCCTTCTGCAGTAGCTGGATAATCTGCCTGCTCTGAGGATGGTTAAGCAAGTGGGGCAGTGAAGGAACCTAGAGTCTTGGTCTTTGCTCTCTGCACAGCTTCTGCCTCACTCGCCTGCCTGGTGTATGGATGCTCGAACATGACTATGTGGAAGGAGCATGGAGCCACTCATGCCAACCACCTGAGGGTCAGGCTGCCATGGACACTAAACTCCTGCCTAAGAGTTAGAGATTAGGCCTAGCCTGGGCTCTGGCCTGCTGCAGTGGGAGTTCAGGGCCAGACTGTGTTGAGAGGTAGACTTGCCTTCTCTTCCGTCTTCTCCTTGCTTTTTTTTCTGACATGGCGGTTTTGTGTTAATCGGGACCTGTTGGGCTCTGGTTCTGAGAGAATCTGGTGGTATTCTCAGGGTTCCTGTTTCTTCTTCTTAAGTTCCTCTTGGGCTTCACTTGTAGACTTATAGACTTCCAATTTCACAAATACTAGATGTCTGTTTCACTGTAGGCCTTTCGCTAGGTGTTAGTCATAGAGAGTTCAAGTCCATAATGGTAAAAAATAAATTATAAGGTATTTCATACGTGTGAACATGAAGGGCTGTAAAGGGAATGTTTGTTCCTGAAGAGCAGGCCATTAACCATGCTGGTGAGATCAGAGAAGTATTGATGGAGGAGAAGTAGACAGCCAAGATGGTTATGCAAGGTAAATGTGTGTGCAGGAGAGAGGATGCCACCCGATGGAGCAGCACGCTGGGATCTGTGGATCAGAATAGCTCAGAGTTGCTATGGTGCAAAATGGGACTAGGCGATAAAAGCAGGTGTGGGGAAGGCATGCTGAGGAGCTTAGACCCTGCAAGTGGTCAAAGGATTTTAAGTGGGGAAATGATGTGCTCAGATTTCTGTTTAGAAAGTTGATTCTAGTGGCTCTGTGAAGGACAGGATGGAGGCCAGAGACCAGTTGGAGGCCATGCAAAGAACCCAACTCAGCAGTTAGGTCTAGAACTATCGCTGTGGCCATGGGGATAGAGGGAGATGGACCCAGAGGGAGTCACGTCACCAAACCCCAGAGTCTAGCCCACATTCATTACCTCAAAGGATAAGTCGTACCACTGGCTAGAGAGAAGACACTGCCCTTAGCTCTGAAAATAAAGACCTAAGTTTTTATTTGAAAGAGAGATTTTTTTCCACTTTTTATATACATCTTTTTCCTCTAGGAAATAGACAGACGGTTGGAAAAAAAACTGAAGATCACACAAAAGGAGAGGTAAGGCTGCTGTCCGGTCTGAGGGCTCGTGCTCTCTGCCGCTCGAGAGCTGGGCAGTTAGTGGTGTTCTCCAGCTGGCTGTGAGCTTTAGCACACCGGGCTCCTGGGCAGTGAACCCTTCCCTCTGAGTCAGAGGTGAGGATGTGGATGCCTTCGGAGTGAGGCTACTGTATTGCACCTGCCTCTAACCTTAGTGGGTCCCGATGTTAGGCCGTCTGATGCAAAGTGGGCGGGCAGCAAGTTGGAAGCCTTACGTTTTAGGCTTGGCTATGCCCCAGTTGCTTTGAGTTTTGAGGCTAGCTGTTTCTCCCTCTGGATATCAGTTTCTCTGAATGTGACCTAAGGAGATAGATGATTTCTTGGGCTCTCAGTGACTTGGTGGTTTAAGTTGTTATTAGGGTATCCTGGAAGAACAGATTCTCAGAAACTCTTGCGAGACCTGTAATGATAGCTTTGTTTCCCACCCAGGCAGCAGAGGCAGCAGGTTTCCAGAGTAGGTAAAAATCAACTGTAGCTGTCTTTGGGGTTGGGTAGCCTGTCAGTTTTCCATAGCAGGAAGTAGCAAGAAGAATAGAACCTCTCTTGAATTTGCTTAATGGGCTGCACAGTTGTTCTGGGGTGCTCTACCCACCCACTAGCTTTTTTGACACCCTTCTCTTCAATCAGATTGCCAGCTCCTTATCTGTCTGCTCACAGTCTCAGAAACTGCCTAACCCTTGGTTACTGTCCCCTTCCCATGCCATTCCTGTTGTGCCCAGAAGTTGCTCTAGTTCCCCCTGGCAGCAGCCGAGTTCCTCTAGTTCCTACCCCTCCTTATAGCCAAGGCTTTGGAAACAGGCCTCTGTCGGTCTGTTTGGTTCTGAGGAGAAGCAAGTTTACTGTTCTGGTAAGGGCCTTTGTGGCTGTTATGAGGTGATTACTCATGCCTGGGTCCCTTTCTGTCCTCCTGTGGCTTTTGTTCTTTTCCTTCCTGTGTTGTTTTCCCTCTTGCTTTTTTGTTGAGTCCACCTCTCATGGACACATCGCCCTGACATGCATGTCCACCAGCCTTGGACAATGCTTCTGTCTCGGGCATTGCCAAGCACCATTTGTAGGGTGGTCCTTCACCTCAGCCCCGCCGCTGTCCAGCAGACCAGAGCCTGGTGAAGGAAGTCTCTGCACAGAAGCTCTGTTGAAGAAGTGATTCGGTGTTGGGGTAGCTTGTCTCTGGGAGGCTCAGGTCACTCACCAGAAGGCTGAGGCAGTTTGGTAAATCCTGTCTTGATGCCAGGCAAGGGTGACTGGCAGAGCAGGCTGTTTTGTAGTGTTCAGCTGGTTTGAGCACACAATGGTGGATGACCTCAACTGAGAGTGGACACTTTGTTGACCTCCAGGCTCAGGAGCTCTCACCTCACCAGCCTGTCATGTTCTGACCTATATAGGGCCCGGATTTTTAACTGAAGTCACTGGATTCTGGTCGTGAAATGTTGTGGCACAGGGGATAAACAGTGGTCGATGTGACCATGTGAACATAAGGATGGAAGTCCCAGAACAAGGTGATGTTCCAGCCCCCTCAGCCAGGAGTTAGGTCTGAGGAACAGTTCCTATGGGCTACTGGAGCTGGTAGCAAAGTTGCTTTTTTTGGGAAACCCTTCCTGCAAAGGAAGGGGGTCTCGAAATCTGGTCAGAGGCCAGAAAATGATGTGTAGCATTGGTAGGAGGAAAAGAAAAGTGATGAGGAGTGCGCATGGGACATGGATGGGCCTCTGGTCAAGGGTGGGATTTGTGAAGCTGTGTTTGCTCTTTGT